TCAAGCATATCGATGTACATCCTACCTTCGCGATGTCCTCAGTGTCTGTAGAACGCAGATAAAACATTCCGATAAAGCTTCTGAATTGTATCGGTATATGAAGATTCCACCAAGCCCTGGTAAATTCAGGGCGCCGGTGATTTATTCCATGCGGTCGTTCAACGCCTGATTTCTGCAGTTTATTTCAGGCTACAAAATGCAAACATAATTGATCTTACGATAGCTTCTGGTTTCTATTCTAGCTACAAGCTAGAAATAACAACGAAACCAAGACAACCATATCCCTTCTTAACGAGCAAGCAATATCCAGGGATTTTTTTTTGGGGGGGGGGGAGCCACCATAGGAGGGCTTTTTGTCAACCCTGTGTTCCCTGTGCAAGGCTCCGGCTATGCCCCTGCCTACACACACATAAAAAAACAGATAAAGTCGCCTATATTAATGCTGGGCAATTAAATGTCCGTTGGGCCTTGTCACGTCTAAGGCAGCCAGCTTACCGGAGGTTTTCTTCTGGGGTGGTGTGGTGTATGGGAGGACAATTCAGAAAATATGCTGTTGCACGTGTCCAACATATATTTTACACACCAGTTAGTAGTAGTGGTGATTCAGAAATATACAAGAAGCAGCCATACGATCAGTTTGCAGTCAGTCATGCGGAAGACAGCCAGGCCAGGGCAGTGGCCGCCGACGGTGGGCGGTAGCAGGACCCAGATAAGGAAGTTTTATTGGCCAACAGGCTTGAGAACAAACAGCTACCACAGGTGTTCGGCGGCGATTTGGCCCAGGCAGCGCCCTCCCCCTCCCCACACACACAAGCGATTTTATGAAGAGGCTTCTGACTGCCCTCCTGCCGAATGGTTCACAAAAAATACAGCATCGTTGATTCCTAGTGGATGTGGATTGTGCGTGTATGCGACGAAGTGCGACGAGTTGAAAGCTTACGATAAATGAAATACAGGCAACCGTTTGGCGGTGGCAACCGATGACATATATTTCACACTTCGACTTCATGGATCATTTTCTTAATGTAATAGCTTTAGCGTCATCTGCAGCGGACCCTTTGCTGGAAAATGGTTTCTAGTTTCGAGATAACGTTGAACATTTGGATCCAAACCTATAATAATGCACCAGCACTCTTTCAGAACGACATACAGCTTTAAAGTGGCAAACACTTCACGCCATAGCTTATCATCCCTTTTTCTTTTCTTTGAATCATGCCGCATGGGAACTAACCATCAATGATTTTCGACACGTCCATGTCGTACGTAGGATCTCACAGTTTCAAATGGATTCATAGTTATATGCTTAAACACTTTCCCTGTTAAGGGTAGGGCGATGCACCCTTACCCGCTCCTGCAGTTTCTGAGAATATCTCTCTGGAACGTGCAATCGCGCCGAATGTTTCGCCATCTTATGACTATTCATTGTGGGCGTTTTAACACCAAAAGCGTTTCACTATCAGTCTGATTTCTGAAAAGCGAAGTTTTTGTCGGAATGCTGCGTCATAATCCACGGCCGGCGCGAGCGGCGGGGTGGCAACCCATGGATCCGCCGATGGCGCACGGCGGCTAACAACGTTACGTCAACAGAGCCATGCATGATAAACGTATAATCAAAACACATGCAATGTATTTATGCATATCCGAACATACATATATATGTATATGATGCTAGTCAAAATTAAAGAAAAACAACGCTTCTTTAAGCTTTATGCTGTTAAGCTACATTGCTACGCAGACATTCGTATACAAAGCTGAAGAACGTCGTTCCCAGGAAAAATTGACATTTGACCTGTCCTAGTGAGGTGTAATATGGAACAAGAAAAGTCAGACTGACTACCAATGGCGAGATTGATGAATCTGCTGAGGTCAAGAGAGTTGGGATTAATCCGCTGGATTTTCTGCGGCGTCACATCGGCCGCTCCCCATCTTCATGAAAAAAATGGCGAATTTAGGGCGAAGGTAAAACGACGCAATACGATGCGGTATCCGAATACTCTCATGCCTGGCAAATGCCGTTGCACACAAATATATCGGTTAGCTCATAAAACTGGTGGTACAGCTAGATCGTAAGGAATGAAATGATCAGGAAGCCTTTGTTGGCTGGGATCGATGGTTCCAGGCTTATAACATTAAGGATACACAGCACCCATCGAATACTGTCGAGAACTGACTAGCCAATTGCACCATCCAACCACCAATGCTATGAACGTGCGACAACTCTCCACAAGCCGAAAGTCTCTACAGACGGTTGGTAAGTGGAATATTAACTTCCAAATAGTGAAATAATTGCGTCGAGTCGTCCACGTCGGACTTCTGACACTAAATCTGCCGATAAATCCATCACGACCCCCTGGGTCTGTGTTCTTTGAACAGCAAGCAGCTCAAAGAAACTGCATCTGATCAGTTGCATGCAGCCGCCAGAAATTCCGACCAACGTTATAGGAGACAGTGGTTAGCGGCGTGCTCGGTGCTGCCGGCCCACCTGGCCAGCCGGCCCGCTGATGGGCACCTTCGCGCCCCTGAAGGGAACGCGGAGGTGCCGGTCAGCGGACCGGTCATGCCAAACAACCCACTCGCCACTGCTCAGATCCCAACGGGCGACCGGCCAGCGGGACACCCGTAATTACCGGGGGAGCTCCAAAGGCGAGCAATGAACAATCAGCCGGTGAAACGTAAATAGAGGGCTCACTCCATGCCCTTAGCGCACAAACTTCCAGCACGGAACACACCAACTGCCTCAAGTGACGTGACAGTGAATCAGTCAATGTTTACATGAGCTAGGTTCGCCCACGCGCAGTTCATGAGGATGAGATCCGTGCCAGCAATCCCTCCTATTGGCACGTGACAAGGTAAAACCGAACCAGGGAGCATACCATAGACGAAATTATCACGCGCATAATCAATGTGATAGCATATGGGCAGCCAACCTGGGTCCCAAATGGGACCGAGGCACTAGCCCGCTTGCATCCCATGCTGGCATGTGGCCCGCTTGCCCACCTGCGGCCCGTTTGGATCTGAGTCTATGCCGCTCACCCTTGTTGCAAACTAGCTTGTACGCAATCAAAAAATATCCAGCCATGCAGAGTTAAGTCCGAAACTAATGCATTTCTGTAAGAGATGTCAGCGTATGGACAGCCCATCTGGGTCCAACGTGAAGCCCGAAGACCGGCCACCTGTAGCCCATGTTGACATGAGCCCGACTTGCCCATATGCATCCCATATGGACCCCAAGTCGTGCTGCTTTATTTTGTTATGTGCTTATTTTACACGATGAAGAAAAATCCACCGTAGGGAACACAAGGTAGCAGACCCTAGTGCACCTGCACCAAATATAGGGGCATATGGGCAGCCTTTCTGGGTCCCAGAAGGAGCCCAAATATCAGCCCGCCCGCAAACTATAAGGACGTGAGCATGGAGGTGGCACATTTAAATAATTGTGTCCGATATGGTAAAACCTTGAAACAGCGATATAATTGATATGCACATAACTGAGTATATGACAACTTTATTGCGCATGTAACATATGGGCGGCCCATCTGGGTCCGACATGAAACACAAAGACCAGCCCACCTGCGGCCGATGTTGACATGAGTCCGACTCGCCCACATGCATCTCATATGAACCGCAACCCGAGCTGTTCTCCTTTGTTATGTACTCATGTGTACATTATAAGGAAAAATCCAACGCGGGAGCACACGGTACAAGCCTAACGCACCTGCACCAATATAGTGGCGTATGGGCAGCTCATCTGGGTACCAGATGGAGCCTGCATACCAGCCGCCTGCGACCTACACGGACATGAGCCCAGCTACCCCGTGCTCAGCCCATGTGAATCCCAGTCCAGGCAGCAATCCCGTGATTATAACAATTGTACACGATATGATAAACCCAAGCAATAAAACGACTGGTATACACATCAATATTGTGTGTGTGGCAACTTGATTGCGAATGCAACATATGGGAAACCCATCTGAGGCCCCAGATTAAGCCTAGACAACCAGCCCACCGGGAGCTAAAGTTGACATGAGCCCAGCTGCTCACATATGGCCCATAGGGATCCCACCAATGTAAGCATTCTCTCCTGGTGGGCTATTTCTTCTAAACGTGATAAATTCCAACGGAAAAGTACAAGGCACGAACAGTTTTGGTGCATACAAAAAATATGAAACGATGTGGGCGTCCATGTGAGACCCAGCTGGATCCCGGTTAAAGCCACCTGTAGCCCATTCCCACATTAACCCAGGTTGCCCCCCATATTTAGCCCATGTGGGTCCCATTTGGGATGCTGACTGGGCTCAGTCTGGGTTTCGCTCGCCCCCCCCCCCTTGCGCGCGGCAAAAACTGCATACAGCTGCGGGGGGGCGGGCAACATGACCGGCAGCAAAAGCAGGCTCTCATGATCATGTCACAATGTCCTAAAATTTTCGTACATGCATTTCTGGCTATGAATATAGTTTCTAAAACATTGGAAAGGATTCGAGCCTCCCGTCCCCCTGAAATGAAAGGGTACCACCCGAACTTTAACTTGGGCTCGTGTTTTGTAGCTGCTGATCTGAATTGGCCATGTGCACCCTAATAGCCTGGAGTATGTTTCTTTTGCATGCACCTGACTTGAATGTTATGCCTATAGCTTATTTCAGAGTTTGCTTTGAAATGATTCATGTCAAAAAACAGCTTGTCATGATTTTGTTGTCGCTTCTGTTCTGGCCTTTCCATGTGTTGTAGAATAATTTCGGATTTGCTATGTTTAGAGCGAGTGTTTTTAATTTAGTAATTTGCGGCTTCAGCGTATTTTCCCGATTTCGCCGCGCGCCGATTGGCCCGGTTGGCCTGGCTTGCGATTGGCCTCGATATCGCGAACGGGAAACGCGGTTGCGGGAGGGCATTGGATGGTTTTCCAGCATGGGTACATTGAGGAGGGGTATGTTATGGCCATATTAACGACTTTAGCCCAATGCTCAATGCTGGGTGACTGCCTCCGGAGAGACTGAAGCCATTAGGGGTCGAGATCGTTCGATTTTGAGCGATATCCGTGTACCACCTACTTCAGTCCGTACGAGTTTCCCTCGGCACCCTTCAGCATGAAGTACAAGAACAGCTTAGTCCAGCCATGAATTGTGAAAGGGATGTGGGCAAAAAAGGAAACTTGGTGGTAGAAATTGCACCAACTTTTAACTGTGCTGTGCTGAATTGTTTGAGTCAATTGATGGAGCAGGATGGAGGCACCAAAAACCCTTTTTTATATTTTAAAATGTCTGGTCCCAGATAGTAATTGCCCATAGGTCATACTTTCAGCAGAATCACTGTAAAGAGTAATAACAGCATGTGCAATTGGGAAGAGCTCATCTTCTTACAAAAGGTCTTACATTACTTATTACTTATTACTTACATCACATTACTCTCTTACATCTTGATAGTTTATAGATAAAGCCAGTCTTATTGGGGATTATAATCTCATGAGAAATTTGTGCTTTCTGCACCATAAATTTGATGTCAGGTAGATCATGATTCATTATAAATGATGGGATTGGCATGCTTAGCACCATGTGTTTGATCTATTATTATAGGGACACTTGAAACCCATGTTTCTGCAGGGGAAATGTTGAAACACATTCAGCAAATTTTCTCTCCTGGGTTTGCTGTTATATTATTTAAAATAAGGTGTAGCTATGTAGATGACTTGGATGATATAAATGGTTATTAAATATTTTTCACTTGTATCATAAAAATTTAGTCATATTGCATGCTGACTAGGTCTTTCATGCTAAGGTATGAGAAAATATGTTAAATTCATTGAGCACAAACAGGTCCACAACCATAAGCAAACAGCCCTCTGATAGACCAAGGCAAAAGCATAGGTTAAAAATTGTTATGTAATTCAGCAATACCTATGGATCATATTGTAATGCCTCCAGGTGTCCAGGGGAAATTTTAGATTGAATATAATGAATTGAATAATGGAATAAATAAAAAGTGAAAGGCCAGGTTCCATTCACAGAAAAACAGTCCGATTTGTGGCCATAAACGTATAAAGCCATCACATTAGGATATTTTAAAATGGATTTGTTTGACTAATGCATTGACCCATCTTTTGCAAGTGTGCAGAAGGCAGAGGCTTGCTGTTATGCATTTTCATTCACAGGTAATGTTGCTTACAAACCAACTGCAATTTAGTGAAACTATTGTTTGTGGATCTGACTGCACCTTTAGCTTTTACTTGGTTCTGTGATATAGTTTGGAATGTTCACTTGCTCATTAGCAGTGTTTTAATAAATTCATTGGGTGCAAAATGAACGTACATCAGATGGATGTCACCCACAGGAAACTGAGTCACAGCTCCAGCCACCACATGTTGCAAAGCGCTGCCTGATATATTCATGGCCAGTTTCAGAGTTACAGCTGACCCACCAACAGGGTGGCTGATAGTGCCCACATTGATCAAATGACATGAAGATACTATCCATCTTTAGAGCTCTGTAGGGTGCATATGTGCTGAATAAAGGGCTAGATTTGAGGCACTAAAGGCACCCATATTTAATCCTGACTTGAATGACATGCATCTGGTGGTGGTGATGCAAAACATCAAATGAAATCAGGGGCAAGACATAGTGCTAATGATTTCAGCACAGGACAGTTTTGCCACAAAATTATCTAGTTGATCTAGAATTTCACACCAGGGATGTGATCAATTCTCATGGATTGCAACATCAGACACTGCTTGAAGTAAGCTTTGATTCCAAATGCCATCATGCAAACTCTGAGCTATATCCTTGTTTTTGTTCTGCTGGTCTTTTGATGCAAATGCTTGTTTTTTGAGTTAATGGTTTGGTGCCTGCTGAACTGCTTTGGGCTATCAAATGTCACACACACTAGTGCTCACTAATAATTGATTATCATCTGGCACAGTCATTCACATGAGGCATCCAAGGCCTTCCTCTTGCCTGTACTGTTCTATTTTCAAAGCACAAAATTGTCTCATTTGCCAGAGCACCTCAAAGTTGTGGATGCAGTTGCAGTTCTGGATCATTATGCAGTTTCCCATGGTAGTATGCCTTGACCAGCATGGCTCATCAGTATGCCATATATGACCATATGTGACTAAGATATGACTAAAAGGTAACTTCAGCACAGTAAGTGTTTGGTTATATGAAGCCAATGCTGCAAAATATTAGTGGCACCAAGAGGCTGCATGGCTACATGTGCTAGATTATAATTGATTGCTCTTCTGATTTTTTGAAGGTTCTGAAGATTTACTTAGTTTGGCACTTCTCATTCTGTGTAAGTCATTTCAACTTTTCAAATTTGATTGATTTAGGCTTTTGGTAGCTGACTTTGGTA